AGGTGTGTGTGATTTTTAGACACCTTTACTGTATGTCCCTTCAGTTGTCTCTTTTTCAGGCTGAACAAAATCAGTTGGAAAAATCATCCTAGATAATTGTTACCCATGCTTTACTGACTAAATAAAATAATGGCCCCTGTTAGTTTGTGAGAGGTCTGTTCTCGTACTGGAATTAATCTGTTTTTTCCTTAAGGAATCAGATGATGGGATAGAGCAAATGCTTATCATATCTGCAGATGACAAACATGATAAGAGTGGGAGCACCCTCTGCAGGGCAGAAGTAGAATTCAGAATTATTTTAGCAAGTGTGAGATTTAATTTGAGGGAAGATAAGCTAATAATAATAATAATAATAATAATAATTTTAAAAAATCCATATCTTTGCATGTAGGTTATTTGTACAAATCCACCATGAGGGAGATATTAAGGGTGATAAATAGAATTAAAGCTGAAAATTTGAAAACACAACTGTCAGACTACTCTATATGAAAAGGCAGGTAGCCTAGAAAGGCTTAAGGTGTATGTTCTCACCTCTGTCTGGCTTTGATATAAGACACAGCCGGAATGTTTGGTATTGATCATCTCTTTTAAAGGACGATGTAGATTATTTTGAGATCCAGGAGGAGTTCAGTAAAAGTTATCAAAAAAAGGAAGGATTGAAAAAATGGGCAGCTTTTCCCTTTAAAATCTTCTCTTACCTGAAGGTAAGAGAAAACTTGGTAGTAACTATCAAAGAAATAAATATTCATAGCAAGACAATAAGCTTTTCTCCTTGACCACTTGTGGAGACAAATAACAGGGAACAGGACAGATTCAACATAAGAAAAAGGCCTTAAGAAAGCACTGACAGCTCACACAGTAAATCCCTGGCATCAGTTGCCTGAGCATTGTAGAGACAGTATTTCTACCACTAGGGTTTTTAAGGACAAATCAAACATCTGTCAGGGGTACTTAGGTCTAATTGATTCTGCTGTGGAGCAGAGATGGACTAAGATGACCTCTTGAGATTACTTTCAGTATTCTTTTCTCTGTGTTTGTTTTTTTTCTTTCCTCTGGATCTGTTAAATTATAAATGCATTAAATGCTGCTTGGATAGATTATTGATTAATATTTCATTTCATTAAAGAAAGACATAGAAACTGCAACTGAAAATCTAGTTAAAAAAGAAGAAAAATTGAACATAAGCAGGCTAACCTTGGAAGAAAGCCAGAGAGAAACAAAAGAGAAATATACAAGATTAAAAAAAAAAAAAAATAAAAAAAGCCAGACCAGTTAAACAAGTCACTTACTGATAGACCTTGGTTTAATTTATAACAACCCAACTCTACTGTTCAGTCACTGCACTGTCTAAAAACTCTTCCCCTGCTTTGTAGAAAAGAAAGATGACCAGGTCAAAAGAGCCCATTCAGCAGCCAATCAAAACTACTGGGAAGCTCAAGGAGGATGTGGTAATAACTTATAACTTGGCTGTGCAGCTTCTGCAAAGTTTCCACCCCTGCCTTTAGATGGAAAAGGGATGCTCCTGTCATTGGGTGGCCCTGCAGCAGGAAGGTCACTTCGTGTCAGAGCTGGTTCCTTTCTTGGGGACCATAAGGAATTGCTTCCCCACTCTGTATTTCTCCCTCCTCGTTGGTAAGAGGGCAAAGATACCTGTCTCAGATGGATGTTTGAAGTTTTCAAATGAAAGCTGCCACGTAACAGAAACTCTTCTCACTTTATTTTAAAAAATCCTGAATAAAGCTCTGTTAGCAGCAAAGAGTTTATTACTAACAGGAATGAAACATGGACCAAACATGATGCTGCAATTGGCCAGTTGAAAAATCATCCAGAGGCTATGAAGCTGCTGGAATGAGACAAATAGGAGATCAACAGGAAACCTGGCATTGTGAATGCTGAGAGCTGCAGATGCAAATTAGTGAGTGCATTGAAGCTTGACAGTGTTCCTGCTCAGTGTGAAATTCTGTGCTCAGTTTTTGTTACACAAAGTGCTAGTCGTGGAAGATGATGAAGCATAAACATCACAGAGTAAACCTGGCCTTTTAAATGAGTGTGTGGGGCTGTGTTTAATTTGGAAGGAAACAAAGAGGAATATCCAAGGGCCAGGCACCTGCCTGAGGCATAATCAATATCATGTGTCTGCTGCATTCAGTCGGGGATTGTAGGAAAAGGCTTCCCTGCCACATGAAGGGGGGCTGAAACGCAGGTGAGATGTGGGATAGGCTTGTGAATGTGGAAGAGATGCTTTTGAAAATATTCTGTACACCTCTCAGGCCCTTGGCTATCAGCTCTATCTGATCATATCTGTCTGGAATCAAAGGCTTCCCTCAGGAAAAGAATTTATCTGAGTACTGGTAGAGCTGATCCGTCATGAATGAGTCCACCCAATTTTGTGGGAGTGAGGGAGGAAGAGTTTCCCTGCTTGTGCATGACCTGTGGTGCCCTGGCTGTTCTCAGCACCCTCATCCGTTTTATTTGATAGCATAGACACAGGTGGCTTGTGTTGATTTTGGCATCTGTTAAAATTTGTTCAACAAAGTGAAATGGATGATGTTGTTGAAAGAAAAGGTGTCTTTTTAATGTCAGAGGAAATGTCCAGAGGAATACATTAACCTTTATATTTCAATAAGCTGAAACTCATTTTATTCTTCCTGATCTCTCTAGAAACACTGAAACTCTTTGGAAAATATTTAGAAAACTGTGATAATATTCAGTTGTAATTATTTTTTTTTTTCACAGAACAATGTGCAGATAAAAGAAGATATTTTTGCAGTGAACTCTGAAGCAGAAAACCACAAGTCAGCATAGGCTGATGGTGTTTCACAGTAACATGTTAATAACTACTTCAAAAGAAAAAAGGTGACATTTTTAAAGAATATCTTTCAGTTCTAATGTCTTTTTTTTTTTTTGGCACAGCGATTTATCCCATTTTAACGCTTAACTCTTTGTAGATCTTCTTCTGAAGAAGGGATGGTCAGAGGAGAGCCTTATTCAAAAGATGAATTTCAATTTTCTGTTGTACTTGATTGCATAAATATAGTTCAGTTACCATGTAAAAAATAAAACTGCATTTTGCAAATAAGACACTACCATCTTTGCAGTCACGAGGGGCAAAGTATTAAACCTATGTTTTCCAGCTATAAAAAAAATTGGCTATAAACCCAAATTTTTCCGATATTGTTCCTTTTGCTGGTCTGATAGTTAAACTTCTCTTAAGTTTAACTTCTGTACCTTATAATGTTCTTGATGTTCTACATTCAGCTCATCAGCCTTGTAGTATTTTTCTAGTTGGGGGTTGCCTTCATTTTGAACAGGAATTAAGCCAAACTATAATGTAAAAAAAATTTTCACCAATTATTCTGTTAGAAAGGCAAACTTTGGGGTTTTTTTCATGCAAGGATTAGGTACTTGAAAAAGTTGGGTACTTGAAAAAGTACCTGCAGAGCTACAGGTCTAGTGGCCAGTCAAGCTGTGGGAAAACTAGATAAGCAAATCAAGTTTCTTAACATATTGTGAGGGTTTGTTTTTTTTTTCATTATAAGAAAAAATAAATTGTACTCTGTGTCATTACAGGAGTTTCTGGAAAATGAGCAGGAAATACTGAACATGGTGACAGCTCTAAAAAAAAAAAAAATCCACAATGAGAGGAAAAGATCAGTGATGGTAATAGCAGGGTACAAAACAAGATGGAGGGGCTGGATTCTCTGGTTGTCAAAAAAGATAAGCTAAATATTTTATTTTTCACTCTTTTTTTCCCCCATCTAAATCTGTTCATTCACAGCAGTTTTCATCAGGAATTGTAGTGAAGGGACAAAGGGGAATGGCTTCAAACTGAAAGAGAATAGAATTAGATGTTAGATTAGATTAGATTAGATATCTGAGGGTGGTGAGGCCCTGGCACAGCCTGCCCAGAGAAGCTGTGGATGCCGCTTCCCTGGAAGTGTCCAAGGCCAGGTTGGACAGGGCTCGGAGCAACCTGGTCTAGTGGAAGGTGTCCCTGCCCATGGCAGAGGGCTGGAATTAGAGGTACATTTATTAGAAGAACCAGGAATACTTTATAACACAGCCTGGATATGATCATCTTTAATTTCCACTTTCGGAAGAGCTGTGATAATAACAGTGAGGGGGCTGTAAAATAGTCTGAGCATCACTGATCTTTCCAGAACTGTGTGTTTGCTTTTCCACAAAGGATAAATAAAACTAACAGACTCAGCTCCTGCAGCTTGTGGTTTCTCAGTTATCACTCCAGGACTATATGGTTAATTAATGTTTATGTGCTTTAGAATTTTAGTATAAGCAATTTTTACTTCTATTTCCATTTAAATGAACAATATTGTATGTTATTGTCTTGGGAAGGGGTGATATCACACAGGGTACATACAAATTGCTTGCTTCAGAGCCTGTTTAACTCAAATCCTGTAGATGTCACTGAATCACAGAATGGTTTGGGTTGGAAAGGACCTCAAAGATCATCCAGTTCCAAACCCCTGCCTTGGGTAGGGACACCTTCCACTAGACCAGGGTGCTCAAAGCCATCCAACCTGGCCTGGAACACTTCCAGGGATGTTGCCAGATATCTGCTTTACTTGTTGAGTCACAGAGGTCTCATCTGTAATGAGTCACAGGTTTGGTCACTGTATGACCATCATCTGATTACAGAATGTGGCTTTTTAATACATTAAAGCTGTAAGGCAATGGCTTACAGGTTACTTTGGAATCATTGGGTCTGGATAATGTGATCAGGAACCAGGGAGAGAAATGATGGATTTATAGAAGAAGAGAATGTCAGAGGAGTCAGGCAGAGAAGAGAAAGATGGTGAACATACAGCAGAAGAGAATCCTACTCCATCTGAAAGCCAGAGCCAGTATTTTCTGTGTGAAATGTTAAGGGCAGGTTTCTTCACAAGGAGCCACTATAAAAACATTGCTTGGTCATTCCAAACTGTGTGTATTTCTCTCTTTGGTTGCCATTATATATATAAATTTTTTTTAATGCTACTGAGAAATGTGATAAAAAGACTTTATTAATTTGTTTCACATTTCAAGTTTGGCTAAAGCACTGGAGCCAAGCTGTAAGGTCAGTGGTTGGGGATTTCAGGCAAGGTCCACGGGGTGCACTGTCTTCCTGTAAACTCTGCTTTTAATAGAATCCTTCATTCTGCTTTCAAAAGGAACAGATGACTCTCTAGAACTAGCAAAAAATGTACTCTTTACTATACCTGATGTTACCTGGGAGTTGTTGTTATCTTTTCAAAAACAAGACACAGCCCAACATTTAAACCCAGTGCACATAGTCCATACACAGAAATGCCCATGAAAGAGGAACAGTCCTTAGGTGTGGTGTTCTAACACGAGTTTTAATCCCTTACCTTTAGAACTGTCCTCTAGATCAGAGTGTCTGCAAATTATATATTGTACATTGCAGAAAAGACAGCATTTGATTTCCTTATGATGCTCAGTTACTTCCTCAATCCCTAAAAGCAACACAGAAAGAAAACTAAGTCTGTCAGTGGAGATTTGACTCAGCAAGGCCAAACACTCACCTCTGAGCAGCCTCAGGGGTTTTAACAATATTTACCAAGGTGTTCACTTTAGGATTTCGAGGAATGTAAAGCAGAGATAATGGCATTTCATTAAGGAGACAAGGAATCTCCATTATTTTTATTAACCAAACTACCAAGAAAAGAAAACCTTTAATCTGATCTATTTAATGCTCTCCCTACATGAACAGGTCTACACGAAGCTCACAGAGCATAAACTATACTTTATAGTGAACTTTACAATGCAGTTCTTCTCCTTTTACCCAGCAGTCAGACACAAACATCATGAGGAATCATGCACAACATGTTTCATCTTTTGATGGAAGGAAGAAGACAGTCTGTTTCCACTGGTGGGGGACAGAAACTAGAGTATGTGATGAGAAACAACAAGCTCTCTGGCATATTCAAGCTCTATTTTTTTTAATTTAAAGTCTATTGAAAACCAGGTTCTGTTGTTTTATTCAAATATTGTATTAGGAAATGAACATACACAAGCAAACCGCTGTACTAGAACGTGTCACAAGCTTTTTATACAGATTCACAGTGATAAATAGATACAAAGACATTCCCTTTGATCTATACCAGATACTTATGAGGAATACAAAGTGCAGCTTTTTGATATTATACAGTCTCAACCAGAGGTGTTTCACCAGAAGTCTGGCACATAAACAACTTCCTTTAAAACAGAAGTTTCCAAAGCCTGACTAAATTGCTTGATCCAGATCATTGGGATGGCGTTGTTGGCACAGGCTCCTTTTAATGTCCATTCCCCCCTTCCGAGAGGATGCGTGATGGCTCCGTGTACTTTGCTGTCATCAGGTAAAAGAGGGCAGGGGCAGGAACCAGGGCAAGCAATGGCAGGTCCTGCTCAAGCTTATCCAGTTTGGAAATGGAGATGATTCCATAGGCATGAAGCAACCAGTGGCTGAAGAGGACAACAAGCCTTTTCTTCCTCACCAGAAGATCCTTGAAAGACTTGTAAAATAAACACAGTATCCTGTTAGCATTCAGCCTGTTCCCCAGTTCCTGACATTTAAGAGATGTTATAGGCAGAACACAGGGACTGTATGAAGGCTCCCGTGTTTGAGCCCTTCCAGCAGCAGTGCACCATGAGAGGGAAGTCTCACAGGAGCTTCCTCCAGCCAAGAGGAGAAGGCATAAAGGAAGAGGCTTAAATGCAAAATACACTGCTGAGAAAAGGCAAGAGACAAAGTGGTCTCTGCTCACTCAGGTCTTTTATAATCTGAGTTTTAACACAGGAAACATGTTTACCCACCTCCACTTCAGAAGCAGACATGTAAACAGCCAGAGTAACCAAAGACAACACCAGTATGATGTATGGGAAGGCATAATCTAAAGGCAAATGTGGAAGACATTAGCAGGAAAAATGCATGATTTACAGTTCAGAGAAAGTTTTTCCACATATAACCACGTGTATGAAGTAAACTGAGCTACTTCAGCCCATCTTTCATCAGCACTTCACACATGGACAGCAGTAGGGGTCAGCCAAGCACAACTCCACAACAGCTCTCACTGAGCTTTTCAAACTTCTACTGTTTCTTGGTGGAGTTATTGTACACTTAAACCACGAACTGAAAAGGGCAGACAATAAGAAAAGTAGTCAGGCTGAGAGATGATTTTGTGGCACCTCTCCACATGTGACAAGGATGCTGGAAGCTAAACCAAAAATACCCTATCTTCGCAAACCTATACTGTAATCCATCTCCAAAATCAGACAAACTCTGCCTTAGCAGAAAGTGGAATTAACTCCCTCTGAAGTAATTTCCTCTCATAACCCACTCTAGTCCTTGTTTTGGGAAAGGGACAGTCTCTAGCAGCATTGGCTGAGGCAAAGCAGTGGGTCAGGAGCCTAGTGAGGTCAGGGCTACTAATGAGCAACCTTTTCAGGTCAGAGTCCTCATAGTAAACAATGTCCTTATTCCCAAAGCAAAAAGTGTCCCTTCTCTCCCTCCCATAAATCACTTCTTAGTGTGCATTTACAGGTATGTTTATGAGTGTTATTAAGAGAGAACTCACAGAGCAGGCCTCCTCCCACAGCCTGCAGCACGGTGAGGATGGGGAAGAAGTACAGTGCTGCATAAATGCTTTTGAATCGATCAGACTTTCCCAAGCCACAGGCAATTTTCTTAACCAGGAGAGGCCGAAGGAGCATCATTAACACAAGACAGAATGCATAATATATAAACACAATGGTGTACCTGAGGAGAAAAAAAATAGAAATTCCTTCAAATGTGCAGTTTTCTCATGGAGACTCAAGTCACAACCAGGGAATTTGGGGTTAGTCAGTGAAGTCTAAAGAATTTGTAACCAAAGGATGTAAACGCGGAATGATGGGCTCACTTTTCCAAGGAGAAATGGTCAAGATGTAGCAAAGGAAAAGAAAAAGAAATAAAAAGCAGCTTTGAGCTTCATAGCTAAATAGTGAGAGAATGAGAGGACATAGTCCCAAGCTGTGTCAGGGGAGATTCAGGCTGGACATCAGGAGGAATTTCTTCATAGAAAGGGTGATTAAACATTGGAAGGGGATGCCCAGGGAGGTGGTGGAGTCTCAGTCCCTGGAGGTGTTTAAGGAAAGACTGGACATGGCATTCAGTGCCCTGGGCTGGTTGACAGGGTGGTTACAGGTTGGACTCAATGATCTCAGAGGTCTTTTCCAGCCCAGTTGATTCTGTGATTCTGTTTGACAGCCTGGACTGTGCCACCTTCTCTGATTACTCAGTCATTAAGTGGTGGGAAGTGTTTCTCATATAAAACAGCTCAGTGCATCAAAGACTTCAGGGTATTGATACTCATTGATCTGAGCTGCATCTGAACACTTTCTGCAGTGTTGAGAAGAGGCACAGACACAAACAGAGCTGTATAAAAGGGAGGGACACACAGGAGCACAAAAGCCTTCACACTCACAGGGGGTAGACAGCCTCGTGGGTGCAGTGCACTGTGGTGATGTAGTCGGGGCTGGGGTTGTAGAGCATCGTGTACCAGTCCGAGAGCTTCTTCACCCTGCAGGAGCGGATGTGCAGGGACCCCACGGGGTCACTGACCAGCAGGGTGACCACTGCTGCAATGCTGCACTCCAACAGGGCTGTGATGTGCTGCAGCAACGCGCTGGAGCTGAGGAGCAACACAGAGAGTTACTGGTTTTCTAACTCTACAGGAAATCTAAACACCGACTGAAAAGCAGAGGCCTGTGCAGGACAGAACCTCCTGCAGAGTTAATATTCGCTGTGACCAAGGTTGGGGCAGCTCTGCCTCGATAAATTCAGTATTTGAAGCTGAGTGTGAAAACTCATTTACAATCTCAGATGGTTTGGTGTGTAAAATGGCAAAGAAAGCAGCAGTGAGGATAACACACCACATGTCTCAGAAGGCGTAACGCTGTTACACATGATATAAGAAACATTTTCAAAGATGCAAGTCCTTTTTAAAGACTGTCTCTGGAGGTTTTCAAGGAAAGACTGGATGTGGCACTTAGTGCCATGGTCTAGTTGACAAGGTGGTGTTGGGTCATGGGTTGGACCTTATGATCTCAGAGGTCTTTTCCAACCTAACTGATTCCATGATTCTGTATATATTCATATATTAAACTCTCCCAGTCCCCTATGTTTTCAGTGTTTATAGAATCACAGAATGGTTTGGGTTGGAAGGGACCTTAAAGATCATCTTGTTCCAACACCCTGCCATGGGCAGGGACAGTTTAGTACACTCCAGTCACTACTTCTTAGAAGTTCTAGTCTAGCACCCAATGTCTCCAAGTTCTAGTCTAGGAACCAATGGCCACATGGCAGCTGTGGGTTTAAACCCCTTTTTAACAGAAATTCCTTGATGTACCATGCCCAGAATACATATTCCTAAAGAGAGAACTCAAAGCCATTCTCTGGCACTGACCAGGGCCTCTGTGGGTGAGAGGTCTGACCCAGGATTGAGGGGATGACACAACCCACTACTCCTGCCTGCTAGGAAACCCAATCCAGCCCAAACTGGCAGATGGAGTGGGCATCATTAAACAGATACAGACCATGCCCCGAGGGCACTGACTGGCAAAAAGGATCTGCAGGACCCTTACATTAGCAAATAAATCCCCCTCCAGCTGTTCAAAGCTTATGTGCTACCATATCAGCTCGACCAACAGCCAGCCTGGAGAGGGCTTGGAGCAACCTTGTCTAGTGGAAGGTGTCCCTGCCCATGACTGGAGGTGTGGAAATAGATGGCCTTTAAGGTCCCTCCCAACCCAAACCATTCTGGAACTCTAAGAACTGCTGGACAGTTCAATTCATCATCTCTGACTGATCACTCGTGGATACAAGATTTCCATTTTTAAACAACATATCTACAGAAGGGGCACACAAACCTCTTCTTTCCAGAATACCACTCAATAAAGAACCAGTGTAAGACCAGGGGAAGCATGGCCATGAAGCCAAGGTAGAGCCAGTCATAGCGGTCCGGAGATCCTGTACATTCTCTGCAGATCTTGTTGTCATCAGTCCTCTGACCTCTGGGACACACCTGCAGAGAGCAGAGATGGGATTTACAACCCGAGGAACAACAGCACATCATTGCAGTTCCTGGACAAACAGCGTGAGGCAGTACTGGGGCAACAAAATGATCAAATTTTTAAAGAGATGAAACAAAAACATCAGTAATGTCTCAGCTTACACTGGCCTTGCTCTGTCTGGCTCCTGTTTCTTAATATAAACAAGGGTGAAGCATGATTCAACTTACCCACCAGGTTGCTCACAACCACTGTCCCCCAGTTTCTTACTCCCCTCCCCGGATCTTGCTCTCCCTCAAAAATAAAATCCAATTAAATCCGAGTGATTTCAGCACAGCTCTCCACCTCATCCCGTCCTGTTCCAGCTTTTCCAGCCACTCCGCTCAGCTCGGGTTTGGGATCGAGTTTCCAGCACCTCCTTCCAGGGGACGTTCACGGAGCAGCTCCTATTTAGCTCAGGGACATCTCCCCGCCCTCGGCGACCCCAGCGCCCCGATCTCGAGGGGAAAGATCCCATTTCACGGCGGGACCCGCCCCAGCCCGAGCTCGGGGCCACCCCGTGCCCAGGCCGAGCCCCGCACTTACCCCGCAGTCCCCGTAGGTCTCCACGGAGCCGTTCACCGACAGGACGGTCCTGCCGCAGTACAGCCCGAGACAGGCGGGCTGGATGTCCACGGCTGCGGAGAGATCGCGGCAGACAGGGGCTGTTATCGAGAGGGGCACCGAGTCCACTCCAACCTCATCCCCATCATTACCCCCACTCTCTTTCCCATCCTCATCCCCATCCCCATCCCCATTCCCAATCCCGGCCCGTCCTACCGGCGCGGAACATCGCTGTTACCCGGCAACCGCCCCTGCACGGCACTTCCGCCTCGGCGCGTCCGCTTCCGCCACGGGACGGGCCCTGCGTGAGAATGTGGGCGGGGCACCCTCATGGGGCGGGGCCAGACATGGGGCGCGGTATAGAGAGGGGGCGTGGCTTTGGGTTTGGCAGCCGCCGCTGTCGTGGGCGTGGCTCCGGGCGGGGGTGGGCGCGGCCTCAAACGGGGCGCGGCTTCTAACAGTGGCTCTGTCACTGTCGTGGGCGTGGCCTCTGGGGTGTGGGCGTGGCCTCAGTGCGGGCGCGTCCCCGCGGTGCGATGGCGGCGCGGGGCGGCAGTGACAGTGTCGGTGTCGGAGCCGGAGCGGGGCGGGCGCTGCCGCCGCACTCGCCTTCGGGCCCGGTGCTGCAGACGGTGGAGATGCACACGGGCGGCGAGCCGCTGCGCATCATCCCGCGGCTGGAGGCGGCGGAGCGGGCGGCGGGCGGGCTGTCGCTGCTGTCGCTGCGGCGGGAGGTGGCGGCCGCGCAGGACCACGTGCGGCGGGCGCTGGTGCACGAGCCGCGCGGGCACGCCGGCATGTACGGGGCCGTGGTGGTGCGCGGCGAGGCGGCCGCGGAGGGCGCGCACCTGGCGGCGCTGTTCCTGCACGGCGCCGGCTACAGCGCCATGTGCGGACACGCCGTGATGGCCCTCGGGCGGTTCGCGCTCGACTACGGGCTGGTGCCGGAGCCCGCCCGTCCGGAGACCGCCGTCCGCCTGCGCTGCCCCTGCGGGCCTGTCACCGCCTTCGTGCCCTGGGACGGCCGGCGCAGCGGCAACCCCGTGCGCTTCCACAGCGTGCCCGCCTTCGCCGCCGCCACCGGTGGGAGCCCGGCCCGCTGCAGCGGGCTTTGGGGGGGCTGGGGGCTGGTGGCCTGGCTGAGGGGCATGTGGCAGATCCGTCCCTGATTCTGATGCTCTTCAGAGGTTGTCGGGGGTGGCATAAGGTATCACATGTATGGGAGCACCTACACATCATCCCAACCACTGCCCTTGCGTGAAGCGAGGTTCCTGCACTCCGTATGCAAGCAAGCCCATGGCTCAGCACGGTTTCCCCTGCTCACCTCCCTCCCTTTCTCTGCTCAGACTTGGCCATTGACGTCCCTGGCCATGGGAAGGTGGTGGTTGACATTGGCTACGGCGGCACTTTCTACGCCTTCCTCAGCGCCGAGCAGCTGGGCCTCGATGTGTGCTCCTCAAAGACCAGAGACCTTGTCAGTGCAGCGAGCGCAGTGACAGAAGCGGTGAAGAAACAGGTATGGGGGAGCACCGTGGCACCCCAGCACATTCCCTTCAGGGTGACTGCACCAGACTGAGACACTCAGGAGGGGGGGGAGTCCCATCCTTCCAGCCCCAGGGTGAATCTAAGAGGCCTTACAGGGACGTAAGAAGGAGCTGCTGCTGCATCCATCTCTGTTACTGCAGAAGCAGAGGTGGAAACACAGCATTGTGGCCTTGTCCCCTTCCTCTGGTCTCTCATGGAAGCTGTACTGCACATGCTTCTGCTGTGTGTGACCCTCTCTGTGCTGTTCCCAGTTCAAACTTCATCACCCTGAAAGTGAAGACCTGGCTTTCCTCTACGGCACCATCCTGACAGATGGGAAAGATGCCTTTAGCGAGGAGCCCACCACCAACATCTGTGTGTTTGCAGATGAGCAGGTACAGAAATGGGCTCTCCTCAGGCACATGAGGCACCACCTTTGTCCCCTCTTACGTCCACTGCAGAGAAGAGGGACAGTTCTGCTGCTCGGTTTGGGCAGTGATTACTTTTTGCTACTGTCATGTCTCTGAAGAGCCAAGTGTCATTTCACACATCCTGTTTTAATTCATAATGGCAGAAATACTTCTGTGCATCTTAGGTGGTGACCTTTTAGAAAGGTTTATACCTACAAACCCTTTGATAGGAATGTCCCAGGGGCAGGGTGGCCTTAGCCCCTCTGAGTCCTTTTGCTGTGATGCTGGTAAGCTTTCGAGTGCTCCCTAAATAGCCTCAATATTTATTAGATCATCCATCCCTATAAGTGTGCCAAAGCTAATCACAATCCAGAAGTACCCCAGACCTGCCGCTGTGATGTATCCAGGTTCTGCACAAAACCCTGGGCTAGAGGGATTTCCCCCAAGCACAGTATAAAGGTGCCAGAGAGATCTGAGGGGAGCCATACTGTTTTCTATTAAACTCCAGAATAGTAGAGCTGGTTCATCATCTCCTCTGCACGTAGGTTGACCGAAGTCCAACAGGTTCGGGTGTGACAGCTCGCATTGCCCTGCAGTACCATAAGGGACTCATCCAGCTGAATCAGACCAGAACCTTCCGGAGCAGCACCACGGGCTCCTTGTTCACTGGGAAGGCAGTGAAGGCAAGTGGCTTGTGCTGGTCTTTCCCCCTGTCTCAAGGACTGCTGGAAAATTGCTGTTGCCTTGGCTCAGTGGGGAAGCAGAAAAGCCTTTCTGTTGCCTGGGGAAGAGCATGTGGAAAGGGGGAGGTGCCTGGGGGTCTTGCCCTCCCATAAACCTCATGCTTCAAGGATTTTAATTAGAAAAGCAAGTAACAGTAAGTCCTTGTTGTGTTGCGTGGCTGCTGCACACTTTGGGATGCACTTGGGCAGAGCACAGTGCTCCAAGAGGGGTGTCTGCATAAGTGCCAGGTAGCACTGGCATTTTCTGGGGTTGGGAGTGTGGAAACCTGCTGTCGCCTCTGTCCTGATCCTGATCCCTCTGCAGGAAGCCAAGTTTGGCGACTACAACGCTGTCGTTGTGGAAGTCTCAGGAGAAGCCTTTTACACTGGCACAGCCACCTTCACTGTCGAGGAGGAGGACCCACTCAAATACGGCTTCTTGTTCAAGTGACCCGAGCCACGGGTGATGGCAAAGTCTCACTGGTGGTGCTGTGCTTCTCCTGCCCGTGAATTTCTGTTCTTGCTGCGATATGCCAGAGCAACGGGAACAGCTTTGGGTGGTGTGACAGCATCTGCCATGTTTCAAGATAACAAGCTCTGTTGTCCTGTTGTGATGAGCATATTGGGTGCGCTGTGATTAGCATAAACGGGCTGCTCTGAGAAGCCATAATATTTTTCTTCTTTTTTTTTCTTTTTTCCCCAGTAATTACTCACAGAAAACAGAGCTGATCTTGGAGAGCTGTCTTCAAAGTTACGTGCCTTCTCTATATCTGAAAATTATGAATTTCAAAGCCAGATTCGTATTAAATGCCAGCTGAAAACACTTCCTTTCTCCTCTTATTTTCCCTCCCAGAGCACATTTCCACGATTCTGCTGTGTGTGTCATGGCTGTTGGTTTGAATCCTTGTTGTCTCCTGCTCAGCCAGCCACGCTGTTCTGTCTCATGCCCTGTCTTCCCTTCTTAGGCCTGTCCAGATACCTCCTTCCTCCATTACACCTGCTTCACTCCACCAGATCCCTCCTGCGTCCCAGAGCTGGGGATGAATTTCCCACTGTCCCCACTGAGTGAGTGTGGCATGCTGCTTCCCTAAACCTTCCTCTCTGGCTTATCTCAGACCACTGGCTGCAAATACCCCAAGGTTAACTTTCAACAGGAGCAGCTGTATTCGAAGGTCTGAGCTATTATGACCTTAGATAATTATTTACTGATGATTTTGTCTCAGTCCAGGGGCAGCTTGTGCAGTGGAGTGCAATCAGTGTTTGCTTTGCCAGAGTCCTTCCAGGGAGGATTGCCAATGGAAAAACCAAACCAAGCATTTGCAGTGGCAGGAGCAGAGCTTCAGACCACTCGTGGCCTGTCATTTCCACTGTGTCTCTGGACAAAGTGGTGCTTGTTTACTGAAGACACTTGTGGGAGTGTCTGGGTGCACTTGTTAAAATGAGACATGAAAATGAGAATGATCATCTCCCAGGAGCTCTTGCAGCAGAAGGGAGAAAGTCATACTGGTGAGCTTGGAAAACACTGGCATCAAAACGCCTGGGAGGAATTTCTTCTGCCAAGTTGAAAATTATAACTTTGGAATGGGCATGAACAAAAATCCCCTCATTCAGAGAATGCCTGTGCTCCCAAGAGAGTTTTTATAGGACAGTGTTTGGAGCTCTTGCTCAGAGCTTTCCTGTAACCCCTCAGTAAATCCTGTACAGCTTCTGGTCCCGAGGAGCAACAAGTGACATGCACACCCTCCATGCTTGCAGGAGCAAACTCCTCCATGTGTTTTCAGCTTCTGGGCTTCTCCCTTGTGATCAGCCCCCCAGCCTTGCTCACAGGAAAGAGCTGGGACAGCAAGTCACGAAGCCCAGCACAGAACGTTTTGAAGCTCTTCAGCCATTAATTGGGGTGCAGCCTTCATTAGCTATTCACTACCCCCATCCCTAGGAAACTTTTCAGGTAGAGGCAGGCAGCTCCAGCATGGCTGAAAGAGGGGGGACAGGGTCCTGTGCCCATGTGGGGGTCCCTGACTGGATTCCTCAACCCTACAGCTGGTGATGTCTCAACCCCCAGCCTGGAGAGTGGGAAGGGGAGCCCTCATCACTCTCTACAACTGCCTGAAAGGAGGTTGTAGCCAGGTGGGGGTTGGTCTCTTTTCCCAGGCAACTATCAGCAAGACAAGAGGGCATGGTCTTAAGCTGTGCCAGGGGAGGTTTAGGTTAGATATTAGAAAGAATTTCTTTACAGAAAGAGTAATCAGACACTGGAATGGGCTGCCCAGGGAACTAGTGGATTCTCCGTCCCTGGAGGTTTTTAAGATGAGATTGGATGTGGCACTTAGTGCCATGGTCTAGCAACTGCAGCAGTAGTGGATCAAGGGTTGGACTTGATGATCTCGGAGGTCCCTTCCAACCCAGCTGATTCTATGATTCTATGAAGGGGGGTGGTCCCGGCCTCTGCCAGTGTCTGGGGGTAGCTGGTCCTTCATGATGGAGAGGGGACAGGAGGGGAGAGGGATGTGAGGGAAGAGGGATGTGAGGGGAGAGGGATGTGAGGGAAGATGGATGTGAGCGGAGGGGGGGGTGACAGGATCTGGGAGTAGAAAAGGGTCTATGGGGACCCGTCCCCGACTCTGGGATGGGAACGCCACCAGTGTGGGGTGAGGTGGTCCTGACCTCTGCCAAAGTGTCTGGGGGTTGCTGGTCCTTCGTGATGGGCTGCGGGGCTGTACGGGGAGATCAGCCAGGAGGGGAGAGGAGCTGACAGCGTCTGTGGGGGTCCCATCCCGGACTCTGGGATGGCGATGACGCTGGTTTGGGGTGAGGGGGGATCCCCGTCCGCAGCCCAGCCGTGATGCCCGGCATCCCTCGGCCCCCGTGCCCGGCTGTGGGGGCCCGGCCGGGCCGGGCGGGTTCCCCGGGCAACGGCGGCCGAGCGACGTCAGCGGCCGGCGGGGCCGGGAGCGGCGGGCGGGCGGCAGCGCCTCTGCAGCCGCGGCGGGGCCGGGGCATGAGGTGCGCATGGAGCCGGGAAACCTCTCCCGGGGCAGCGGCGGCGGCAACGAGAGCGGCGGGGCTGCGGCGGCGGCGGGGCCGGCCGGGTGGTCGGCGGCGGCGCTGGCCTCGCAGGCGGCCGCGCTGCTGCTCATCTTCGCCCTGTCGGCGCTGGGCAACGGGGCGGTGCTGCTGGTGATCGCCCGGCACCGGCAGCTCCGCACGGTCACCAACGCCTTCGTGCTGTCGCTGTCTCTGTCGGAGCTGCTGGGCGCCCTGCTCTGCCTGCCCCTGGCCTTCCTCAGCCTGCTCAGCCGCCCGCCCGGCGCTTGGCTCTTCGGGCAGCGCCTGTGCCTGGCCAGCGCCGCCCTGCACGCCGGGCTGGGCATCGCCGCCACGCTCACCATGGCCCTGCTCTCCTTCGACCGCTACTGTGCCATCGTGCGCCAGCCCCGGCACAAGATGGGCCGCCGCCGCGCTGCCCAGCTGCTGGCGGCTGTCTGGCTGTGCGCCCTGGCGCTGGCCGGGCCCTGGTACGGGCTGGCGGGCGAGGGGCATCGCGAAGCCCGTCCCGGCGCCTACCGCTGCGTCTACGTGCTGCCCTGGGGCTCCTCGCGGCTGGGGCCGCCCTACGGCGCGGCCCTCATCGTGCTCTGCTACCTCCTGCCCTTCGCCGTCATGTGCTTCTGCCACTTCAACATCTGCCGGGCGGTGCGCCTGGCCGAGAGCCGCGTGCGGCCCCTCACCACCTACGGGCACCTGCTGCGCGCCTACGGGGAGATGCGCACGGCCACCACCGTCCTCATCATGATCGTCTCCATCATCTGCTGCTGGGGACCCTACTGCATCCTGGGGCTCGCCGCCGCCGCCGGCCACCTGCCCTTCTCGCCCACCATGGACGCCGTGGCCAGCGGGATGGCCTGGGCCAACGGCGCCATCAACCCCCTCATCTACGCCGCCCGCAACCCCAACATCTCTGTGCTGCTGCGGCGCAGCCGGGAGGGGGGCTACAGGACTCGCAACAACATGGTCGCCTACCTGTCGGTCCCAGGCCACCAGCCGGAGCCCCGCAGCCGGGCTGACCGTGTCCGGGAACGCTACATCAATCGGCACAGCGGCCCCCCCGGCAGCGCCCTGTCCTCCTCTAGCCCGGCGAGCGGGGGAGAGGTGGCCATGTGGGCCTGCAAGACTCCTGCTGTGCTCTTCTGTCGGGATGGGCAGCCGGACACCATTTCTGAGGCCACCTTGAAGACCAAAGCAGGCACCATCGACACCAGCCTCTGAAAGGACAGGGGTCCTGGATGGAGGCATTGGGTCCCGGGGCTGTCTCCTTGAGGAAAGGTAGGGAGAGTCCCAGTGCTTGGAGCCCTTTGCAGCCAGACTACCAGGAAACTGGAGAGATGGGACTGCGTACGAGCCATAGTGTGGTTTCTTCTCCATTGTGTGAGCTCTGGTTTGGTGGCCCAGACTGCAAGCAGTGAGAGCTCCGCAGGGAAAGGAAACCTTTTCCTTTCAGCAGGCCTGATGCACTGGTGGCAGCCTCCGAGCCCAGCCAACACAAGAGCTCGACTGCAAGAACAAAACAGTGTTTGCTCCAGTCCTGCAGAAAGTGCCACAGTGAAGCTCAGAGGCCAACACACCAATGCAGCCCAAACTGACTGACTGACTGTGTGAGCTGTTTGTTAAGTGCCAAAAAAGCTGTTGAAAGCTGAGCACTGGCAGCTGGAAGGCACTCTGAAAATATCACACTGTGAAAAATGCATCATGGCAGGATAATGTTGCTTTAACCCATTATATGTGGAAGTGCCAATAGTTATAAAGTCATGTGAGACTGTAAGACAGGCTAAAAAAGGGATCTATTAAGGTTATTTTTTTTTTTAATTTAAACTCTGGAGCGTAAAAAAACAGTAATTTTGAAAGGGAAGATGTATGATACTGGGAGGGAGGGAAAGGAAGATGAAACCTCAATTGTCAGAATTTCAGTGGCCTTTTCTGGTTTTTTTGCAGATATTTTTTTTAAATACTGTGAATATGAGAAACATGAGTTCCACAGACAGACTGAGGAAAAGTGTGTGACCACAGACTGTGGTGTCACTGAGTTTGTGCTCAAAGGTGTGTGTTTTCTTTTTGAACTCACCTGAAGTGTCTCTTGTCTCTAAGCGTTTAACTGTTTTTAGAGAAGCTGTGTGGGAGAGGTATCTGAAAGGAGAGGTAAAGCAATACCATGTGCTCCCTGTGTGCTCTTCAGCATGTGAAAATCTGTATATGCAGAGAACAGGTATTATTGTATTGATGGCAGCAATCCATTGGAGTTTAATATATAAAAACCACCTCTGTTTGGTGTTGAAAAGGAAGGAAAATAACACAATAGAAGTGTGATTGTATGGCATAAATTTGTATTAATTTATCAGTGTAATCTTTTTGTTCGAAGGCCTAAAGCCTTAAACTAGTATTTTGAATCAGAAACTAAGATTGGGCCTTCCTTTGTTTTTGCCACAGTTAAGTGTGAGAGGTGGGCAGTGTTTTTCCGTGTACAGGCTTTAAAAATACAATGTTTCAGTTTTACCGGATTTTTTCAACTGTTTGTGACGCAAGTAAACACACTGTCATTATTTTGTGAGACAAGAAATAAATTGTCTTTTATGCAGGACATGAAAGTGTCTCAGCCTGTCATGATTCTCAGGCCAGCCTTGAGAAGGGAACTCCTCTGAAAAATTGCCAGATGAATGATAGTAGAGAGACATAATTGTTTGTGAAATTTTAGTGCAGCTGGTTTCCATGGTCTAAGCATTACTGTAACTTTCTTCTGTGATGCTCCTGAAGTCCACTAGGAAAAGATTTGACCCTTGACTACTCAGCACTGCTACTTTGCCCTGCAGCTACTGGATTTTGCAAGTTGAGCAGTGTTTTCTTGCTGTTTCAGAGAGAAGCTGTGCAGAAGAGCCACAGGAGCTGTTTGACAGCAAGTGAACACTGGTGGCTTGTTGGAAGGGTGGGACAGGAATTTCTGGCATACCTGCCCTTCCTTCCACATGGCTAGTGTAAATGGAAAAAGGTGGTTGTGAATGGCGAGGTTAGATTTAACTCCTACCTAGGTAGTTGCAGGGGGTAACAAGGAGATTGGTGTGGGATAATTTGCCATAGAGACCATGTGGCTAAAAGCCCCTGGAAAGGGGATTCCCTCAGTGTTTGGCTCTGGCCACCTTTCTTGTCCCTTCTGTCCCCACCATGCCAGTTGACTCTTGCTAACTAGCTCAGACACTAAACAACCATTGACTCCCTCTTTTTCATGCTGGTTTAGTTTTCTACTGATTTGATGCCCTGACCAGTGCACCACAGGCCAGGTAAACATCTCTGTGGCCTTTCCTTCTGGCAAGGGCAGGATTGGGGATGTCAGGACTGAGGTCGACCACAAAGTATCAGAGGAGCTGCTCCAGGAGTGGAACTATCACAGCTAAAAGGTGGTAGTGAAGCTGGAAGTAATATTTTAAAACGTTTTTAACAAGCATTGGTCAGTGCCTATATGTTAGTCTTGTATGTGAAGAGTTGAATGAGGACAGCAGGCTGTAATCTTTGAGCCATCACAGATTAGCACATTTCTGTGAAACGCTAAATCAGGCTGTATTCTTGACTAGATCCTTTTTGACATGGACCTGCTCCAGTCAGAGAGCCAGCTTGTGTTTTAAAGCTGTGCCTGGCCCGTACTTCTCATAATCTTAGAATCATAGAATCATTTTAGTTGAAAAAGACCTCTTAGGTCATTGAGTCCAACTATTACCCCAGCACTGCCAAGTCCACCACTAACTCAGGTCCCCAAGTGCCACTGCTACACATCTTTTAAATCCCTCCAGGGATGGTGACTCCACCACTTCCCCCGGCAGCCTGTGCCAGTGTTTGATAACCCTTTCCATGAAGAAATTTTCCATAGTAAACAGTTTAAACCTCTTCTGGTGCAATTTGAGGCATTTTCCTCTTATCCTGTCACTTATTACCTGGGAGAAGAGACCGATGCCCACCTGGCTCCACCCTCCTGTCAGGGAGTTGTAGGGAGTGAGAAGGTCCCCACTGAGCCTCCTTCTTCCCAGGCTGAATCCCACCAGCTCCCTCAGCCGCTGTTGAACTAGTGAGGTACATGGGTCTCTACAGCCACATTTTTAGAAGTTTAGATGTTTTAAAAACCCCAACCAAAGGGTGAGGGGTCTTAAATAAACCACAACCAGCAGAGAGAGACACAAACCACACCAAAGGCTGCAGGTTGCCTGCCAAAATGGTACTTTAAATGCTGCTGTGTCCCAGCTGTGCTGAAGGTTTCTGCCTCTCAGGCAGCGCTACAGAGTGGGCAAGGAGGCCTCTGCCATGCTAGCACACAAACCAGCGTGTCAGTCTGTCCCTGTACCTAAAAATAGCTCCATGTATTCACCCGTGAGAAAGAAACCAGAGGATTAATTCACTGTTTAGCTCTGAAAACTCTGCCCGTGGTCACAGCTGCTTGTTCCCAGGTGAGAAAACATTGCAGGGCGTGGCTCCTGGCCGAGCCACTGTGGGACATCACCCCCACATCTCTCACATGCCCATGTTGGTGTCACCCTGCTTAGAGAGCCCCTTTCTTTGGGCTGAAGAATTCAGAAGACAGCAAGACACTGAGGTTTTAGACACTGTAAAGCTAGCTCTGAGGCTCCAACCCTCCAGCCATGGCTCTTTCCTTTTCTCTCCCTTGAGATGAGCCTGGACAAGGTGCATTGCAATCTCATTTCCACAAGGATATTGGGACACTTTTTTAGTTCAAAATTCATGTGAGTTTGTCAGTGCAGGATGTTTGGCATAAGAGACATAGCAGTTAACATGATTTGAAGACCAGTTCAACCCTGAATAACAGTGACAACATTAGTCAAAGACAAATTAAAAATGAGTCCTTGGGCTCTTAGTCCCTTGTTGACTTTCCAGCATACTGACCATCAGTTTAAGAGTGCCCTATTATTTGGCAGTGATACACATGCCACTGATTTAACTAATGCATTATATTTTAGAAGAAAAATATGGTCTTGATGAATGACAAGCATTTTAGAAGGTACTGCTCCAACTGCAGGCAAGTGGTAGTTTTCCTTCTGATTTAATCATTAGATTCATCTAAGTAGTTATTTTCCACTCCTTTCCTAGTCTCTGGATGAAGTCTCTGTTCAAAACAAATGCCGTGTGCATAATTTGTGAACTGTGAACAATTAGCAGCTCGATTAGCAGTATTTATAAGTGACAATCTGATGAGCTGTAATACCTGTCATCAATCAGCAGAACTGGGATAGCTTGGGTGTAAGATCCCCAATTGCTGCTTCCCTTTCAGCACTTGGTGTTGGTTTGTGTATCCAGTAGATGCCAGCAGAGACCTAAGCACAGCTTTTCCAATAATGATTCTAAGAAAAACCTCTTTCTGTTAAATGAGATCAGCCACTCTGCCTTCAGGACTGCTGCATCCCAAATACAAGCATTCAGAGCAAAGGTTGCAGCTGATGCAGTGAAAGGCCTAAGGGCACTCTCCAAAACCTGGGTTGAAGGACAGATTCCACACCTGCTGCTCTTTGCAAGGTTTGTTGTAGAGTCTGAAATAAATAATTTGGAATGCACATCAGAAAAGTTTGATTTTGTGCAACGCTAGCTAATTAACGGCCATACTGCACGTGCCCCAGAGCTGCAAAACCTGCAGTTGGAGGCCTGGTGAGATCAGTCCTGATGCTGACAGGGTGCTTAGTTCAGCAGAAGAGCTGCCTCTTCACTCCAGCTGCTTTTGTGTTTTTATATAGTGACTCTGACTGTTAACAATAAATAGTGGGTCCACATTTAGATCTGCTCAGTAGCTGTAACTCTGCAAAGAGTTACAGAGCCACAAGGTAGTAACTAAGCACCAGAAGAATAAAATGGTCCCAAATCCTGCAGGAGGAGTAACCCGCAATGGGATCTAGGCTTAGGTGACCCCATGCTCAGTTGTGCTATGCTGGCTGGATGTGGGAAGACAAGGCTCTATCCATACCATGGCCAGCCCTCTTGCTGTTCCCAATTTGCAAAGGAGCAGTGGTTTCTCACACCGTGCTGCTGGCAGCACACTGCCTGGGTCTCGAAGCATCTACAATCACCCCAGCTGAACTGCTTAGGGAACAGCTCTGCATCTCTGGATATTTTTTCCTAGGATATCACCACTGCAAGAAGCAGGAGGAAAAATGACGTGGAGAGGCAGACTGTAAATCCCCCTCAGTGGCATGAAATGGATGAGTCACTGAGGAAATCAAAGTGAAAGTAGCAGGAACCCCAGGGCACAACACCAAGGCCTGCATTAGTCTAGCTGGGGAGTGATGGATGATCTCAGCCAAGAAGACCCCAGGAGGCTGTGACCAGAGCCAGAGGAGATTTGACAAGGGGGACTCAACAGCAAAAGGAATTCCCACACAGCATGATGTGTGCAGAGGGTCAGATCCAGCACGGGATTCCCTCGCAAAGACCTCCTCCTCTCCAGGCAGCTGTGCCAGAAGGAGGGCAGGTGGTGACACCCTCCAGCACTTCTCTGTCAGGGAATCAAGCCCTGAAGCTTTGCTGGGGCTGTTTGTGCTGGGTGACACAGCACATCGGTGTGCCCACAGGCTTCTGGGGTGATCATGGAAGATGAGCAGGATACAGCCATGATTGACTAGAGGAAGCACATGCACTCTGAGAGGAACCACTTGTTATTTGTGTTATTTCTTGTCTTGCTGGCACTGAGATCCTCCAGGTTCCTCTGCAAAGCCAAGCACTTTCAGAAGCCCACAAAACTGATTGGAGAATATATATATGATACTTGGGATCCTTAATTTTATGCACCTATTAGTCCTCCCTTTATAAACTATTTTTAGTCTTATCTCTTGCATAGTCAGATCAGAAGCTAATAAACAAGGGGAACATCTAAAGGGATTCACAAACAGAACAAAGATTTCATTTTTTTTTAAAGTTTTGCTCAGAACAGAGGATTACACCTTTCCTTGGTGGGGGGGGGGTATTTTTGTGTGCACTGAAGAGTTAAAGGTGTTTGCAAACCTCAGTTTGCTCCAGATGTCTGCTTTCCCTTCAGACATGGGGATGCCCTCTTCTCCTTGCCACCGTGAGGAGAAGCAGAAAGTTGCAGCAGGGGTGACTTTGGGGAGGTCACTTTGGAAAATTATATTCCTCAGTTCCTGGTAGTTCAGGAATGGAAATACTCAGTGCTGATCAGGCTTCCACATCCAGAGGAACATCTCTCTTTCTCCCAGGGGGCAGAGCAAATCTGGCTGAAGGTGGCAGGACTATCTCCACCAACTTCTGCCAGCAGTTCTGATGCACAGGGTGAAACACTTTGCTTACACCTGGGGCTTGACCAGAGGGATTCACTGAGATGTGCACTCTCAGAGCTGCAGGTGAAAATTTTCCCCAGGTTGGGGCTGCACATGGACGCTAGGCTGGCTCCCGGGGGAAGCTGGTGGCCAGCACCAGGCTAACCCACCCCACCACAGTGCAGGGCAGTTGGGAGGATGCTGGTGCTGCATCTGGTGAGGAACCAAACCCCCTGGATGGGTCCTACAAATTAAAATCCCTCAGGGTCATAGATGTGGACAAAAGCACCAAGATAAATCTCTCTTTAAATTTATCTTGCTCTCCCAGC